TATGTACTTAAAAGTTCTAGTAAAATATATGTGTATCTTAAGTATGTTTTATATTTCTCATTAGTCAGCTTCAATTGATATTGTACATTAAGTAATTTTATCAGCATTTTTACTTTTGGATTTAATGATAGATATAATTTTTGTCATCATTCTTACCCCTTATTTAGTTATTATAATACTAATAAAATAATTAAGGGTCTTTCAAAGTATCTTGTTTGTTTTGAAAAATTACTTCTTATCATAAATTGAACGCCAATTACATTGAATGTGTTATATTTTCTATCATATCAAAAATTTTCATAATAATAGTTGCACACAATATTATATATAATGCATTTTTGTTTATATAGATTTGGAGTCCTAGTTTTACTACAAGAAAATGAGAAAATTCCAACAAAAAATACAACAAATATAACGATTTTCTTATGTTGATTTAAGAAAAATCTTGACTTTTGGTCTCTTAAATATATTTTACCTTATTGTGATTGCATAGATTTATTACAATGTATTACAAATGAGAAAGGTGATAGATTATGTAAAGTATAATTTATAAATTGCAATGAAATGTTATTTTGATGGTACATTTTTTTTTTCTATTAACTAAATAATGATCCCAATATGAAATTATTTTGGATCTATCACTGCAATTATCTTTCCAATGGAACTTCTGTTGAATTTTTGCATAATACCAATGACAATTTTTTCAACGATTGAAATATAGTCCAAAAAAAATTCCAATAGAAATTCATGTAATTGAAATCTTTGAATCCACTAAAGTTTATGTAATTTAATTTGAACACTAATGGAATAGGCAATGAAATTTTCCAATAAAAACAATATATTCGTGGGAATTTTCAGTAGAATACCTTACCGTTGAGTTTTTCATTGCAGTATAACAAATTTTTTGTAGTCCTCTTAAACATTATTTTTTATGTAGTATTTATTGAGTAATTGTGTTTACAATTTTTCTATTAGAAATATATTAAACACGTGAACCTTTTAGTTCCTACAAATTTTTTTTTCAGAAATCACTCATTATTTTATCTCAAGATTACCTATTAATTTACCAATTGAGTTACATTTCTTACATATTAAATATTATACAATTAAAATAGTTCTTGTTTTATATGTTCAATATGATACTTATATATTATATTAAAAAAAACTAATATAGTAAATAAAAAAGTTATTTAGAATTAGAATAATAAAGATTTTTTTTTCTAATCTACATGGATAAATGTACAAATTATTATTGTCTTATCACCTCAAATTAACACATAAAATTAATAAGAACAAAAAATTAACAAGCGTTTAACAACTCAGTTCAATTACATCGATAAGTATATTTTTAGAAGGTTTATATTTAGTTATATTAATTATATTATTTTTTTTCATTAGTTTGTTTTATATTTATTAGTACGTGTTATTTTTAGAAAGTTTATATTTAGTTATATTAATTATATTATTTTTGTTCATTAATTTGTTTTATATTTATTAGTACGTGTCACAACTTAGTTATTATTCATATTATTTCTTATATTTCATATTTTTTTAAAATTTTATCTTTTTTCTTTCACATGTTCTTAACTGTAGATTTGTCAAAAAAGACATAATATAAAGTATAGAATTTTTTCGATCATCTGTCTCATTATATATCAAATATTTGTATATCCTATATTCTATAATATTTAATTACAATTTTGTAATTAATATTTTAATTATATATATTTATAATTCATAAATTCATTAATAATATTGTCGAGTCAACTTTTGTTCATAAAGTTTTTAAAAATATATTATATTCATTGATTTGCTTATGTTGAATTCAGAAAAGTTATTTTTTTTTAATTGTAACTGTATTGATGTGTTAAACATGTACTACAGATGAGAAAGATGACAAATTATGGAAAATATAATTTATAAATTATAAGGACATAATGTTATTTTAATGGTATACTTTTTCTATTAACCAAATAATGCCTCAAATATGAAATTATTTTGTATCCACCACTGCAGGTAGATTTCGAATAGAACTTCCATTGAAATTTTTACAATTCCAGTGACATTTTTTCAACTGTTGAAATATGACCCGAAATTCTTTTTAACAAAAAATCACGCAATAATAAATAATTATAATTGAAATAATTATATTTGTAACGCCCCATTTTCATTTCAGTAGACATCTCGATTATCTATATTATTATGGATTTATAATTGCCATTATATTTTCTTAGCTCGACCGATTAATCTGATTAATTAGATGTGAGTGTCTAATTTAATTATTTGATTAAATTAATTTATTTAGACATTTTTGTCTATTTAAATTATTAAGAGTTCAGCCGAGATTATTAGATTTTTTTTAGTTTTAGCATGCCAATTATTTAGCCATTTTTTTGGGTCGTTGAATTTATTTTCTCAACTCGTCAGAATTTTCGAGACCGAGTATTAGCCGAGTTCCAGTTATATTATTAGTAGTCTAAGCCGAGTGGAGTTAGGGAAGTTTCATTTCTTCCCAATCAAGGAATAAAAATTCTTTTTCACATCAATATTTAATTATTTGATTAAATCAAATAAATGATCAGGATGAGTGGCAAGGTTGTGCGGGACTTGGTCAGTCTGAGGAGCTGATTTATAGCTCACGTTCACGCCAATATCTCTCCATATCAAGCAGGATATTTTTTTTTTCTTCTCTCCTTTCAACCACGATAAAAACCTCAGAGTGCATAACTCATTTTTAATTTTTCACGCCCTCATCGAGTGGTATTCTTCAGAATCCTTCTTCCACCATTCCTCATCACCATCGCCATCCTCCCAGCCATCATAAACCCTCATTCCTCCATCGTCGGGGAGCCCTATCGTCAACCGGAGAGACAGGCAGCAACCTACCAAGGAGGAATTCACGAGCAGCAGCCAGAAAACCTTTCATCCTCACCATCGCACAATGAAAAGTAGCCGTTCGAGAGCACACGGGCAGCCCCTAGCCGTGAGCAAAACAGCGAGACCGAGAAAGAAGTGTTGAGGCCTAGTTTCACGTTCGAGGAACTTGATTTTCATCTCCTTCAGCCTTCTCGTTTTAGTTCCTTGAAGGAGGTATAAAATCGGAAACCCTCTATGATGTTTATGAGTCTAATATGAAGGATTAAAAATAGGCTCAAGGTTCATGGCGAGGAGATCATATTTATTCGAATTTCCATGATTTATTTTGAGTTGTATTATGGTGTTGAACTCTCGTAGGGACGTCATATTATCCTCTGAAATTAATATTTTTAAAGTTTATAAAGGTCGGGATAATCAATTTTAAGTTTTTTTGATGAATCGGGATGATAATGACTATGTTTGGAGCCTTGCCGGGCTCCGAAAATATGAGATGAATTATTATTTAAGTGCAGCGATTATGCTGCGTTCTTCTGAGGTTTAAACCTCTGATATGGGCCTAATAAACCTGGTATGTTGGTGTTTAAATGAGTTTCAAAAATCGGGTTGTTATCGACTAGTCGAGCCCCTTTATTTTTCTTATGTTTATTTTTTTTAAAAGTAAATGTTTTAGAACAGCAAAGTTTCTGGGATATCACCTCTGGTTTTTCATGCTTAAATACCTAATATTTAGGTGTTCTTAAAGTCTTAAGTTACACTTTAAGAATCGAGTTTAGATTGCCTTACCCGAGTCCCTTTATTTTTGTTAATGGAGATGTGTTAGGGGCCAGTTTTAATTGAGTTATAAACTGTTTTTGCTGCTCCTACCATCTGGTCTAAAAGTGAGTTTCAAATGCTGAGTAATGTATTAAAAAGTTGTTCCCGCCATGAGAAGTTGGGGTGATTTCGCCACCCGGGGTTGTACGTGTTCGAATAAGGGTCATTTTTAACCCGGGGTGCGTACCCTTGAATGGCGTTGATGTCGTAAGGGACCCCTTCGAGATTAGGATCGTATCCCGACTCCATATAGCGTGGACATTCATGGCCTCCATGCCCCGTCTCACCGCAACAACCACAAACTTCGGCCATCACCACTTGAGTGGATTTCACATCTCTCAACCTTAATTGTTTAAGTTCCTCCTCCAACGAGGCTAACTTGGCAAGCACGGCGTCGTTTGAGGACCCGGTTGATGGGGTAGCTTCATTTACGGGAGTCCTCTTACGCACGCTCTTTCGTTGGGAGTTCTCACTCAACATTTCGTAAAGCTCGTAGATCTCCTCGGCCGTGTGGCTCCCAATGTCTCCTCCGGTCGCATGATCAACCATGTATTGAAGGGTTTGATGGAGACCGTCGTAGAAGAATTGATTTAGTACCCCGAGGCAAAAGTTATGATGGGGGCATTGGAGTTGATACCCCTTGAATCTCTCTCATGCCTCGTGAGAGGTCTCCCCGACGTTTTGACTAAAGCTTGCAATTTGGGTTCGGAGATCGGTGGTCTTTTGGTGTGAGTAGTACTTGCCCATGAACTTCTCATATACGGCTTCCCACGTGTTGAGCAAATTCGGAAGCAACGTCATGAACCAAGTTTTTGCTCGATCTTTCAATGTGTAAGGGAAACACCTCATTCGAAGTTGATTCTCGGTTAGTCCTTGGAGGGGAAATGTGTTTACGGTTGCATAGAAGTCTCGAATGAAGTTGAGAGCATCTTCTTGGGCGAGGCCATAGAATGAGGGAAGTTGGTTTAGATGGATGATCTTAAGGTCGTAGTTTCGGGCCGCCTCCCCGAGCACGAGGCACGAGGTGTTGTCTCCAATAATCGGTCGTGCAAAGTACCTCATGTTCGGGGGAGGTTGTGGAAGTTGATTCTCTTGTCCTGCCATCGGTTCGGGTTCGGGTTGCAGTTGAGGTTCTTCGATATTTAGTTCAACAAAGAGATCGAATGGGGGTGTCTCCTTTCGGGGTCTTCCTCTCCGTCTACCTTGCATAAAAAAAAAACCACAAACTATACCCGTGAACGCACCAATGGGAAGCAAGGAAAAATCGAAATTGAAAACTCAAACTAAAACAAAAATTACCTAGAAAATCAAGAGAAATAAAGAGAAATACGGAAATTAAGCAAAATCACACAAAACAAGAGAAACACGAGAAAAAGGAACAATCAAATAGCAAATTAGGCGTCCTACTTGCCTTCCCCGGCAACGGCGCCATTTGTTTAGTATAGATTTGATGGGCAAGGGGTAACCGAGCTACCCGACTCGGGTCGATCTCGAGGGAAGGCTATTCGGAGCTTTACTCACTATTCAATCGCTCAAATCACAAAAATAAAAAATAAAGTCCTACACATACTAATCAATTTGGGTTGAAGATGATTAACACTAATTACGACTATTGAAAGCAAGTAAACGAGCAACGAGCAAGTGAACGTACTACAAACTCTAGCAACTAAACCGGTGAACAAAACCAAGGGCAACAAAAGCGAAAATAAGAGAAACGAACTCCATTTAACATGCTTGATAGCTAAAATCGAAATCCTACTACGAAATAACCGAGCTAAATATGAAGTCCCAATTTTTCTAATAGCAATCAATCAATCAATCAACTCCAAACATCATAAACGAGCTCACAAAAGCAAGGGGAACGAAAATAACTAAAATAGCTACTAAAAATCCGATAACCGAGCAAGCCCTAATTACTTCTACGCACGAGATAGCAAGTAAGTACGAAAATCGAGATCACAAGGCTTAAAAGTAAGTACTCACATCCCTAACGCATGCTTGATCGAAGTCGAAAGAAAAAAATTAAAACTTGCATAAACGAGAAGTCACCGGAAAAAGTCGCCGGAAAATGTAAATAACATCCACCTTACTCTAGAGAGAAAATAAAAGACTTAAGCTAAGAACCAAAAAGGGAAATATTTCATAATGAGCTAGATGCCTCTAAATGCAAAGGCCAAAAAGTATTTATACTCCAAGAAAAACACATACTAAAACGCAGCTAAATATCACACTCCCGAGCTCGCGGAGGGGGGCACGAGCACGCGAGTGCGCGAGGCGCTGGGAACGGGCCACTCTCGACCGCGCGGGCTGATTGGCGAGTGCGCGAGTGCGCTGGGCTGGGACGTAGACGCTCTCGACCGCGCGGGTGGACTGGCGAGCGCGCGAGTGCGCTGGGAAAGGGACGCTCTCGACCGCGCGGGCTGAATCGCGAGCGCGCGAGTGCGCAATGGCTGGGCGATGGACTCTCGCCCGCGGAGTTATTCACGAGCGCGCGAGTGCGCTGGACTGGGCGATGGACTCTCGCCCGCGGAGTGATTCACGAGCGCGCGAGTGCGCTGGACTGGGCGATGGACTCTCGCCCGCGGAGTGATTCACGAGCTCGCGGGTGCGTGTGGACTGGGCGATTCACTCTCGGTTCGAACATATTCGCATGAAATGGATTCAAACTGCTTGGAAACTAGACTTCTTCGGGAAATGCTCATTGCTCGGAACGTGACTCGACTCTCTCGGAACATGGCTCGACTCTCCATCTCTATCCCGGAATAAACCTGAAATTCATAACAAAAGTACGGGAAAGTACGCCAAAATATGAAACAAACAACAAAACATAAAAACACACGATAAACGCCAAAATGGACCGGTCGACACTAAAATAAACATAAAATCGACTCGAAAGCACACAAAAACACATAGAAATAAACACAAAAACACAATAAACATTCTTTCAGGATCATGTTAGTCTATATAATGTCCGTTCACGACAAGGACTTTAATTAACTTTCACATGTCAGATCAAAGTATCATTCATTTCATTCATCGGCTATCACTTATTAGTACTGCCCGTCGCCGGCGGTAGAGCCGCACTGGCTGGCCCATATATATATACCCATTCATATTTTGTTGCACATGACCTTCATCTGGCCATTTCATCCACCGGCTATTATTAATTAATACACTGGTTGGTTCATTTAGCCGTTCAATATAATTCGTTGCTACTGGCTGCAACACTTGGCCATTTCACATAACTGTTCATAATATTTTGATCAACAATTTAACCGTCAGCTACCATTAAATATTACTTGTCGGCGGCAGAGCCGTACAGACCGGTCTATGTAGCCACACATATTTATTTTCATATCACATGGGTCAATCCATTACATGTTAATATACCAATTATTACAATAGCCAATCCGTAGATATGCACCCGCTCATTTATCAAATAATATTCACAATAACAAAATTCAAGCATTTTATAATCACATAATATAATAAACCATATCAATATTGGTCTTAAAATGAAGCTCCATTTAAATAGGATATTGTGAAATAAACAAAAATTAATTTCAATAATCACTACTTTGTATATTTAGCAAAATCCATTGCTAGTATGGTTATTTGTATGGTATGAAAATGCCATGATTGATATTTTGGCTTTTGCATTCCTAATTGCTCGTGTACAATAATATGTTTGTAGAAAAATGATAAATAATAGGTGAATGGAACAAGACTTTCATGTGCTATGTCATTGCAAATAATAAAGACAACATGCAATTAAATGAAAGCCCATAATGTGGAGAGTGAACTAGTCAAGCCTAATGACACAAATCATTAATTAAAAGAAAACAAAGCACCCCACCACCAATAATTTACATAGACGATTCTTAGAATATTCCTACTCCATGAAGAGTGAAATAAATGCTCTCACACACAATTGGTCAAATACTGGCTAGGGACCACAACACATAGGATACTGCACCTCAACAATACTACTACTATCATTAAATAAATTATTTAAGAGATAATAATAATAATATTCAAGTGAAGAGCTTACCTTCTTTTTTAAAAAGTGAAACCTGAAGATGAAGAACACCAATAATGCGCTTATCATTCTTCATAAGGCAAGGGCTTAGGAGTTTATTTTTCATGACTGCCAACTTCCCATTTAGCATTAGGACTTCCATTGACAAGAGTAACTCCAAGGTATGACTTACATATTTTATTCACAAGGGCAAATTCTAGTTCATGAGAGCAATCTCAACACCATCCTTTGCTCATACGAGGATGAAATTAGTGGAATCGAGAAGCTTTTATTTGTTTATTATTATTAATTTTTTTTTTAATTAATTTAACCGATGAGAGCTTTTGTGGAGAGTTATTTCAAAAATCACAATTTGTAATATTCTGATTTCTGATACAGAAGATCGTCTATAAAACGCAACTGTAGAGCATACTCTCGTCATATTGCAAATCGAGCTCCAGAGAGTAGAGCATCGTGCTGATAACGTGTTATAAAACTAGAGAAAAGAGAGAGAATAGAGAAAATGTTTCTCTTAGGTACAATTTTCATTTTAACTGAAACTCCTATTTATAGAAAATTTCTGATGGCACAACCGTAATAGTACAATTACATCAGTGACAAAATAGTCATTCACATACATTATTTTATAAATATTTCACAACATACTATAAATACTATATTAAAATGAGGTGCACCCTCCTTGTTTATTTTTTTAATTGTTGGCGTTGTTAGGACGACGTAAAAGATCAGGTTGACCTTCACATATATAAACATCATATCATAATATATGTAGATAAATTGCATGACATATCTATTCTATAAATCCCACTAATAATCAAATATTTAAAAGTTGATTTGTATTTGAAATAATAATATGGGTTGCATGGCTTTGAGCTTTGCTAGGTTGTCAAATCTAACTCCAAGAGCCCAAATTGCAGAAGAATGGGAAAGGGTTAGGCTGCCGGAAAGTGACCGGAAATTGAGGGTTCTGATCGTCGGAGGGGCGGGCGTCGCCGGCCGGAACACGGCCGCCTCCCTCTCTAAATTCTGTCCTCAGCTTCAGCTCGTCATCGGCGCCCGTAACAAGTAAATTAATCAATATGTTATTGAAGCATAATTATTTGAGTTTTCGAAATTATATTGGAAATATTTAAATCTAAAGATTCAAATTTGTGTTCAAAAATTTGAGGAGAAAAGGAAACACAAGTCAATTTGGTTGTTAGGATTTTCCGGTTTACCGTCGTCGTGCCGTGGCTTATTAATATTTTTTTTAATAAATATAATATCAATTCTTAGTTCAACTAGGTGCATGAAAATAATATTTGTAAGAAAATATGTGAATTAATTTATATTTTATTGTGCAATGACAAAGAAACAAATAAATATATTACAAAAATATAAAAAAAAAAAAAAAAAA